ATGCGTTTTTCCCAGAAAAAGTTTCAAAGGGCGGCGTCATCCAGAGCATTGATCCCTGAATCACTGGCTTTATGCTCCAGGGAGTTGATTATATGTCTGTTTCCAATCAGAAATGATGACTACACAAAGGAGCAGCTGATGATAAAGACAGCTCCTTCTTGTGTGACGCAAAGCACACAACTGAATTTAATCGCATTTATGTATTTTTCAGCATGACTTTGGAGTTGTGGTACGCACACCATCTGCAGAACCATCAGAGATGGTGGCTTTTGTACAGATAGGAAGAAGAATGATCCCTCTCCTCTTTATGCAAGAAGCTGGACTGTTTCATAAAAATAAATTTCAAAATGAGCAGCAAGCATTTTTAAAAGAAAATATTGCCTCGATCCAATTACTCTCAGAAAGGCACCAGAGCAGTGGACTGACTGCTTCGTCAAATTAATTGAGAAATCTTCCACCAAGGTTTCTTTTCTATAAAAGCACACAGATGCAGACATTTCAAGTCTGTTGCACTTTTAAAAAACTGATTTATTTAATGAAAGAGACATTTAGAAAAAAAAAAGCTTTTTCAGAATTTCATGTTTTCTTTCCAAGAACACATTTTAAAAGCTTAGCAAAAATTCTGAATTGATCCTTTTTGATGTTCTTGTTAAATACTTTCTCCAGGAATTCATCAATTTTTTATATCTTAAATTCCAGAAACAGATTAATCATTTTGCTCTCTAGTGTCACCCCAAACATCCCCCTTATTGACAGCTGGAATAGGGTCAAGTCCTCCAGTAACCCTGAATCGGAATAAGAGCATAGAGTAAGGATGGGTGACTTACTTTAGGATGAATATATCTTAAAATAAACCAACTGACTATCTCCTACTATGCTACTTGTCTGATGCAGCAATGAATGTGCAACAGTAAATATCATTTTTTGTTAAATTCTTTATTATAAAAGAAACCTTTAATAGACAAAATCCTGCACATCCCGTGTCTATTTTTGATCTAATAAATGCTACAGATCCCAAAAACTTTATCTGCCTTCCTCTGCCAAATAACCTCCGTCTGTTGAGCTTTATCTGTGCATCTTCTTCTTCATGCTGTCCCAGTAGTCTGCAGACAGTGTCTCCACCTATGACAAAGACCTGTTGCGCAAGATCATAATCAGTGTTGCTGCACTCTGACATCAGAAGCAGCTTTATCCCTCCATCAGCCAGCCCAGACGTACAGGTACACACTGTGGGACTGTCCAATTGTCATTCAAATGCTGGGCTTTTGATCGAAGTGCTTATCGTTTCTAATCAGAGCGTGTAAAAGTATTACTGCTGAGGGACAACCAGACCTCACTGACTTTGATATGGAAAATCACGTCTGCTCAACGGAGTTGACTATTCCTGTCAAAATCTTCCCCTGAAATGTCTATCTGTTGTCTTGGATTAGCTCCACATTTATTCATTTTTAAAAAAATATTTCCTCAAAGACTGAGCAGGGAAGGCATCAGGGATGTGGGGTGGGGTCGGAAGGGGAAATAAAGACACAAACACACAGCTTGTTAAAAGTAACATTTGTAAGCTTATTATTTTGTTATCATGATTATTGTTATAACCTCTGTTATGGTTTGTTCAGTTTACAGTTTTATTTTCAAGTTCATTTAAAGTCATTCCAGTCAAAGGTAAACATGATTGTAATTGTTGTTTCCAACACTAATAAATGCTTTTGTAGTTTTGCCAGGAAAACAATCGGTCACACTTTCTCACCCATGCACACTTGGATATCAACAAAATCTGAGACATATAATCTCTTGCTTTCTAATCTGTTCATTTACACACTCACACACAAACAAACACGGAGACAGGAGCTTCTGCCCACAGCCACAAAGTGCTCAGCAGGGCACTGTCTCTTTTCCCCTCCGACACACGCGCACACTCTCCCACACACACACACACATGACTAAATTCATAAGTGCAACTTCATGAAGAGTGATTTACCCTATCACACCTAAACTTTTCTTAACTGCAACCCCAACCCCCCACAAAGAGCCATATATACACCTGAGCTGGACCACACACTGTACTGAATTCATTTTCATAGGCACAATCTCTGGTTTGGATGACAAACACGTTTACTCACATGTTTTCACCGTTCTCAAGGTTTTGGAGAAAGAAAATTGACGACACAATAATGTAAGAAGATAACTTCTATCATTTGGAATACCACAGACCCCCAGCCCCACAGTCAATGCATCCATGTAGACATCTGAAAACAGTACTGATAAGATAATAATTATAATTAGAAAACAATACAACAGTAAGCCACATCATTAAAACCACCTAATATTGTGCAGCATGTGTCAGGCCCAAGGATATTGACTTATTTGTCAAACTTGGGGTCACTGTTAGTCAGGCCGATTCTGACACATTCAACATGTTGTAAACTGTGGTGTGTCGTCTTTGGGATTTAGTTCTATTCAATGCAGCATCCGTGTGAATCCCAGTCTCTCTACAGAACGATGTTCAGTGTTACTCACGTTGACTGCCAGTGGTTTGAATGGTATGACTAATTTAAGAGTCTACATGAGTTGGAAAGAGGTTGCATTGTTTTATAAGGTTACTCCAGGAACTTTGTCTTGATATTCTGTAGCTGTGTGAGACCTGGATAATTAAATCTGAATCAGACAATTACCTTGAGGCAATTTTGGAACATCTTGGAAGATTAAGTGAATATTCAAGCATCATGGCCTGAATTCATTACAGGTTAAATGCTTCAAATTTGATTAGTTTTTTAAAGTTTTTTTGCTGGTGATTTCGCATTTCAGATTTTTTTTCACATCTTATGAAAACAATGTTTTACAATGGTTTACACCCATCATTGGAGTGCCCATTTAACGTAAAAAAGAAAGATCTAAAACAGTAACGGTCCATTAAAATTTATTCTAACAGATAACAGAAATCATAAACTGAAAGCAGCTCAGGTTTAAATATGGCTCATCCCCCCTAGTTTTCACTTTCCCCTTAAAGATAATCAATTATATGCCATAGCAAAATCAACATATCTGCAATATAAAATAATGAAACACAACCACAAAGAAAAAAATTACCTTCAAGTTTATAAAAATGCTTACATCACATTTCAACTCCGGAAATTTCAAAACACTGAGAATCCATTCTTAGTCCGTTGACACATTTACATGAGTGCTTGAACGCCTCACGTGCCGGTGGGTGAGCCGTTGACTGACCTTTTGGAACAAGCATCTGATCACAGTCAATCATCTTCATCATTTGAATCAACGTCACCTTCAACATTGTTATCAGCTACTAAGGTAAGCCATGCCCTACAAGAGTCCATCATTGGCAGGGTAGGGTAACCATGGTGAATAAGGTGCTAGTTGCTATGGAAATGCTGTTTTGAAGTAACTGACTGGTACATTTGCGTCTGTGTTTTGAAATGCTGTTCCTCCCCACCGAAGCACTTGGTTTGTTTGTTGCTTTAGTTATGTTTATATATTTTTTTAAACATATTTTTTCATTATTTTGCATTTTCATACTTATGAGATGTACAGAATGTGCATGTATTTTCAGGCTGTTAGTACCATTTAATATATTTCCTCTCACTCTACGACACACTCAAGAGACACACTTGGACTCAGGCACACTCAGACAGAAACAGAAAAACTGTTTACATGTGGCATCTGACGTGGGTTTACAGAGAACTGGGCCGGTAGAGCAGACTGCTAAACCAACACAGACCAGTGGGGAGCTTCTTCAAACTATTCATAGATGCCTGTTGTGAGGGACCGTCCCTTTTCTCGCTTCCCTCCTCCACGCTTCTCTTCCCCTCCTTTGATCAGTCAGTTGTGAGGGTAGTATTGCTGAGTATCCATGGCCGCTATGTAGCCACAGTGTGCTTGGTTAACCTCATCGATGATAGAGGACCGATCGGCTACTGCACCGGACAAGTAAAAGAAAATGAAAAAAAAAAACAGAAGTAGCACAGAAACCTAAAACATAAACATCAACATCAAGGAACCCATGAAGCTTCTGTCAATGGCACATACACCCCCCCACCCCACCCCCCTACCCCCAAGAAAAGTTTCTAACAAATGATTTATGGTTGAAATGCTCTGTTTCTCCCCCTGACCGCGTCCAGTCTGGTTGCCCTCTGCAGACAGTGAATATAGGATGACACAGCAAAGTGGAGATGGCAACTACAACACTGGCATCTTGAGCCCTGGGGTGTTTTTGTGTATGAACTATCAGCTACTTTGACACGTCTCCTACCCCTGCCCAGTGTAGCTCACTGGCTGGGTTATTTCTTTATTTTTTTTCCTCCGTGGACTGGAACAAGTTCCCAGCATCAAGATCAACAACAACAACAACAGCAAAAAAAAAAGGCAATATCAGTTCAATTCAGCTGAAAATCTATTTGATTAAGTTCGTTTGAGTTCATTTTAAGTCTTGGTGCAAGAAACTATGGCAACTAGCCCTACGGAAGTGTTACAGCCAATCACGTCCAAGGGAAAGTCTTCAAATGCTTTTCAATTGGGTGGGTGGATTTCTTCTTTTTAATCAGGATTTCAGCCCCACCTCCCCTGTTGTATAAATGCTTTAAGTGGTGAGCGTGATTCAACAAGCTCACGCTGTGGCCTGTCCTCATACACACACACACACGCACACACACACACACACGCACGCAGATGCACACAAAAACACAGTCACACACAGGCTAGCACACCTGCTCCTTTGAGCACAGCCAGACATCAATCCAATATATAGTTCAGTCTGTGTCATCGAGCGCTTAAAGGTCTTTACGCGCTCCCTCAAACACACAGCTGTACAAACACACATTCGCACGGTGATGCTTGAAAACATGTATTTCAAAATCTCGCTCCTCTTTCCTCATGCTTCCTCTGCTCCTCCGCTCCTCTTGACCCACTCCTCACTCTCCTGCCCACTGGTAGTGTACACCTTCCCAAGGCTGGTTGGCATGGTGATGCTGATGGGATGGCCGTTGCTAGGAGATGAAGAGAGCGGCCAGAAAGAGCATCGTCACGGTGAGGAGAAGGCGATCCCTGGATGGACTGCTTCCGCTGACGCTCTTCTCCAGCTTGGGAACGAAAGGGTTAAATTCATCTGAAAAATCAAACACAGCAACAGCAACTGGTTATTCTTATGGGGATTTTTTGTTTTGTGTCATTGATGTGCTTTCATTTATCACCTTAACACTGCAAAACGAATGAAAGCATGACGTGCCTCTGACTGAACAAAGGGCAGTCTGACACCAGTGGAAACAGAGCAAGTCTGAACCAAAGACAAGACAACAGCACAGCACCTCACAGGAAACAGACAGCCCTGATGGGTGTAATAAAGTGGCACATTCCCAGTTACACGCACATTTTAGACAGAAGCACATTGTTTGTTTTATCACCTACACCTGGCATAATTCTAAAAATAGGTTGCTGTCTTTTGTTGAGGGCTGCCCACTAACTGCTGCTGTCTAGTCAATGTCCAAAAACCCCCAGCCGACAGCTCCCCGCACGCCTGCGCCTCTGAGGCACACGTGCAGCCAAACACACCCTCTGAAATCACTTGATTAATGAGACTGCAGATGAGACAGAAGCACAATTTTCTGTCTGTACAGAAGTCGGCTGAGGCTGATTAGCGGGTCTGTTTATGGTCCAATGGCATCGAAATAAAGGGAGGATGCTGCCAGTGTTTTTCTACTCCGTCCCGTATCTATCTCCAGGATACTTCCAGCTGCTCCGCGGGTCGGGCAGCAGAGTAATGACTGGCCGACACCTGGTTTTAGAGCCGGCCTCTCCTGGTATGCTCCGCCGGCCAGCCTAATGAGGTCTATGCAGGCGAGGCGCTCGGGTTAAACGCTTTGACCGCTCGGTAACCGGAGAAGCGGCCGAGGGTCAGGGCGCTGGCCACCTCGCTGCGTTTCCTCGGGCCTGACTGACAGAGAGGAATGTGGTTTTGAGGACACAAACAGCAGACCGAGGAGAATCTCGCACGACCGGTTTGGAAAAGTGTGGCCGCGTGCCTCATTACACACCTACACACGCTGACATACACGTGTCCACACGCACACCCCGAGTCTGTCGCTAACTGTCACAGGAAGCATGCAATCACCGCCGCACATTTCTGGCGGGATGTTTGTGCAGGGGCCATGTGACGCACGGTGTGACCTTCTGGCACGCCAAACCAAGCAGCCGTTAACGGGTCCGCCCGTGAGAGCCTTCACCATCACATTTCAGTGAACAAAGGGCAGGGTACACCAACCTGACAATCAGGAGGCTCAGATTATTAGGGACCTCTGAAAATGCGGTACGACCACACAATGCCGACTATTTTCCACCTGTGAATGTGATGTAGTCTCACTTTTTTTCCATCTGAGCTAAAATAGAGTTTCATAATACGAGTATGTAGGTCAAAAGCGAATGCTGGGTAACGGCAGTGTTTTTACAATATATTATGTTGAATCAAGTCTCATGCAGCCTATGTATTGGTTGTATTTGAACTCTGACAATTTAGCTTGTGTAAGCCTCAGGACAGTTTCCACAAAACTCTCAAGGAAAACTTGTAAGATCGTGAGAAAGGTGTCATTAGATAGCACGTCCACTGATCACAGCCAAAGAGACACTCGTAACTGTGATATTACTGTGTTATATATATTTTTAGATTTAGCTATATCTGGTTGGGAAACCAAAAGTTCTTTCCAAAACTTTTTTAGCTTTTTGGAAATGTGTTCAGAAATAAGAAATATGTCAAGAGTAACAATTTTTGGATGCTGTGGCCGATTGTTTTAAATAGAAAATGTGAATAGTAAATGTAAATAGAAATTTACAATCTAAAATCAAAATGGTCAAAATCGTGACACCTGAATCTTTTATTAGATCGTGTTAGTGTGGTTAATGTTCATTTCAGCGGCATTTAAACATCCTGCAGAGAAACAGTAGACAGTACTCAGCTGTCTCAGCTGAAAAGGTAAGAAGCCTTCTTGTGGGGAGTAATTAAGAGTTTAAATCAGTGGCATACCAGCATTAGACAAATAGAAAGTGCTTATTGTCCAGGAAAGGACCACTTAATTAGAACTTTTTGTATCTAGTCATATATTTCAAATGCAACATGTGCATTTTCAGCACAAAACAACAAAACATAACTGCTAGGCTTAGTGTATATTCAAATCATAAATACAATCAAAACAGAGCTAAGTGAATCAAACAGCTTGCGCTTCACTACTGACATCCAACCTGGCTAAGTATCCCCGAACACACTATTCTCAAAGGAGTGGTAATCGCTACAATAAACCCCCATTAAAGGAAAAGCTTTGGATTTCTCCACTAATGGCTGGGTCTGATTGTCAGATGCAGAAATCTTCACCAGCACGGTGGGTAAATGAGAATCCTCCCACTGAAAGCCATCAGTAATCACATGACTGCATGGGGAGCTGCTCGCACCATTCCATCTGCGTTGTAAATTAGATTTAAATGAAATCTAATACCACAGGCCGTATTCAGGGGGGAACCTCTGTTGAGCTGTAGACATTGATTGAAAGGGGCAGAGCCCAGGAAATAAACTGTGAGCAGTGAAGGGCAGAAAAAGACAGGAGCTTTACACTGCCAGCCTTCGACACTCAGCTGAGTTAAACCTTTCTGCACAGATTTGAGCTGGGTAGTCTCTCAGTTGCCTTGCGCTGGATGAACTGGCTGTTAACTATGAATAACAGTAATTAAGACTATGATGCTACAAGTTTAATTGGCAGTCAAGGGGGATGCAAATTACGGAGGGGAGCGGGAACCTGTGCTGCCTTTTTGTTCGCACTTCATTTCACAACTCTGCGCTGATTTCCTCACTTCCTCACCATTAACTTAATTGGCAACACGGCGCTACAGGTGAAAATGACCCTGGAGCACGGGTCAGCTGTGCTCTGCTTCTCCGTTAGCTATTCTCAAAGCATCCACAGTATTTTCTACTGCTCTGCCAGCCACTGGAAAAAACCCTGAGAACGCAAGGCTTATTTGGGATTAAATGCTCCTTTAAAACTATTTGCAGCAACGGAGGGAAAAAGATCTCAAGAAACGAGATCCGAATTTATGGTTAAAAAAAAAGCTTGGTATCAAACTAAATAGCCCCAAAACAAAACAAAACAAAACAAAACAAAAAACACATTGAAGACAAATAATTACCAAAACTGATGTAGCAGATGAAATTGTTTGATTTAAAAAAGAATAGCTTGAAATGCTAAAAAAAAGAACATCCTTTGCAAAAAAGTATATAGCCAGAGACTGTATATCAAAAAAGGAAAAACTCAATTTCACACATCAAAAGGTGAATAAACGGAGTTTAGACGGTTTTCCCCTCTACTGCTTTGTGCTCTGGGAGGAAATATGGAATATAGGCATAGGGGAGCAGGAGGATGAGGATGAGGGGGAGGACACTCAAGATGGAGGGGGATGATTTCAGAAGGTTGGAACGCTTTTTTTTTTTTTTTAAAGGAGGGACTTTTTAACTAACTGAAAGTGTTTCTTTTAGGCAATTATCTGAACAATTTCTTAGACACACAAAAGCATCCATGTGCACACACAAACACCAGGGAGGGGTAACAACACACTCTAACAGACTATAAACCTCCTCAGAGAGAGCGTGCAAGCTGGACAGGATTATGATTTATGCCAGCATGACTGCTTGTGTAATAGCAGAGCTAGGCATGCATACTGTTTCCCTGTCTCTGTGCTGTTGCCATAACAATAACAATAACCATAACCCCATGATCTATTTCAGCTACGAGCCAAAAGGTTCTTATTTATTGATGCGCTGCTCTGCGTTATCTTTAAAATCACTACAAGCACAGACTTGCGACGATTCGTGTGATTGCCACAGCTTTCATCATAAAAACCTAATTAGAGCAACATGGAGACAAACAGGAAGCACCTGCAAAGCTGGGGCTGAGAAACTGCAGAAAACCTGAATAAACCTCCCTCTTCTGAATGAATTCTTACACTTTCTGTGGTGAATGGCCATGAAACTCTGTGTTCTGTGCTAATCCGAGTGAAAACAGCAGAAAACGTGTGATATGAATATTCATGTAGTTGTTTAGCGGGATCAGCAGCTTGCCAAGCCAGCTGGTGCCGTGAAGTTAGACAGCGCTGAATATAAATTTTTGAAACAGCACATTTCATTCTGGTTGGCTACTTTTGATGCTGCATGGTTACTCTGCTCTCTTATATCAATGAAACATTTGTCGAGCCCTTTAAAGGATTTGTTTTTTAAATTTGGAGACTCAGTTTCTCTTATATTTTCTCAGCGTCCTAATAATGAGAAGGAGACGTGTCTGAGCTTGGTTCATAGATTCATTTCAAGTAGCAACTGGTGCTTCTTTGTTTTTGTTTTGTTTTTTATCTAATTTACGAAGTTGCAGTCACACCGTGAACTGAGGCGCACCTATCTATGATGAAAGATGGAAATACCGAAAAAGTCAAACACAGTTCATCATTAGGATTTTTAAGTATGTTTACACATGGCTTCAACAATCTGACAAAAACATGCAAACTGATTTCTATCTTTGTACCTACGTGGTTTTTTTTATTTATATGCTGTCATGAAGCAACACAGTTTTGTGCACCTGGCTCCCCGGCTGTACACGGGCTGTCCTTTCAAATATCTAACCGGAGACGATAGCTGAGATTAAATTAAGGATGACAGGAAGCTCCGTGGGGTTGAAGACCTGACACGAAGAAAACTATTTCTGCTACAAAGATGCAAAAGTAGACAGGTCAGTCAAACATTTTAGGATACTTTCATAACCCACAGGTTTGGGAGTCTTAAATCTATTTTATCATGTGACAAGTGATGTTATCCTGGCTTATTTATGTGAACATTTGGATTTCTTGTTTTTTTTGCCTACAATTAAATTATGTAAATTAGTCCTTTATGCCATAACACATCAGTTAACTATGAAAAATAAATCAAACATAGCAAAAGTGGTGTTAACTTTACTGTGTACAAACTTGTACTTTTCTTTTCAAAACCTATATGACTTTCTGACCTCCTTGAATAGTTTTATATGCTTCGATGCTCAAACTTATTTTATTTGTACTAAAGCAGCGACATGTCTTGTCTTCGTTCGTTGATAGTGGTTTATATAAAAAAAAATTAAACTGGCTTTGTTTACATGAATTCCCTACCCAGTTTACTATATTTTTCTCTGGTTTATAACAATGTATGATACATTTACTAACCCTTTTCTAATCTTGCGAATTGTTTTATTACAGAGGTGTAGAGGGTTCATGTAGCAGAGCAATAGGTGGATTACAGCCCCACTCTTAGGTTAGCCACAGAGATGATATTATGCAAAAGTTACACACAATGCCAAAGGTCCATGAAGGAATAAAAGCACATACTGTAGTAACATAACAGACCTTAGAGATTATGAGGAAGTGATGCCCACACTGATGATGATGGAAAACCCAAAACACAGCAATAAAAACAAGCTAGTTTCTATGTCATCACTGAGACATTAAATTAGGCCTAAAAAAGTCTTTTTTCACAGATGACTTGAGGATGACACTGGCTGATTGGTTTCACTTTTACCCAATTTCTTATTCATGTTCTTTTCTGACTATGTGTTTGACTCACCGATATCATCAATTTTTAGGCCTGGTCTCAGCGTGTAGTCTGGTTCTGTGGGCTCTGAATCATCATCAACAGCAGAAGCTAAAAAGAGACAGAGAGGAAATTGCGTTAGACTGAAAAGCGAGAGGGCAGGGGGTTGGGGTTAAAGCACTAGCTCCAGCCTTAAGGAATTTAATTACATCCAACTTGACATCTTGAGAGGAACTTGCAAGAGAGTGGCAAGACACGGGTGTAGAGGTTAAAAAAGCCCAGAGCAGACAGAGTGACAAGCCATAACATCAGCAGCGGTCTTGACAAAGAGATGGAGAAAAGAGAAAGAGGGTTGGTCAGAGGGAGGAAGATCAAACTGAGGGGAGTCGGTGTGTGAAGAGACAGATGCAGTTGCGGGGTTGAAAGAGGGAGGAGAGGTTAATGCCATAGGGCTGTGGAAGTTAAAAGGACCGGACAGGCCAGGGATCAAAGAATGTGTGCACATGAGTGTGAGAGTGTGTGCGATGGTGTGTGCGTGAGTGGGCTGAGAGACTGAAGGGTGGCAGGAGAGTGAGAGCCCCTAACACTACATATACACAGCCACCCACTGACCGCACACGGCAATAAATGGATTCTGACACGAAGCGATGGAGGAGGGTTGAAAGGGGAGCAAAGAGAAAAGGAGAGCAGGGCGGTGGAGGTGAGGCCCTTCAAAGCCCGGGGCTGCTCCTGTTGGTGCAGCAGAGGGTGGAAGGGGGGGGAGATTATGGGGAATGAGACAAAGAATGGAGAGATGTGGAGAGAAAGAGGTGCAAAGGGAGAGAACGCCGCGAGTTCAAATGCGGCAGGAGAAACTCAGTCGCCGTGGCGAGGATTTGAGGAAGCGCCGTGTGTTCCAGGCGGGCCGAGCGGCCAAATGGACGCAGGTAGGGTCGGCAAAGGTCCAAGCTCCCCGTGGCAAGTCAAACAAACACACACAGCGGGCGACCTACCACTGGTGGAGCAGCAGACGTACACCCGTAGTCTGAGACAGCTGCGTCCATGGTGATGAGTGGGCGTCGCTGTGCAGCAAAACATACAAAACAAGTCAACGCCCTGCTAAGCACCACAGTCAGATGTTATTGTTGCTGGGTTTGGATATTATTGCGTTGATATTTTTTCCGAATAAGATCTCTCAGCACAAACCACTGGATCTGCGATGGTGCTCATGCTGACCTTTCTGAACACACACTGGACAGACATGTAACACAATTTATCTGAAGTTATGTGGTCAGAATAACTGTGCGCATTTTATTTAATTGGAATCGGATTGTCATGTTGTAAAGACTTTACAGCTACAGTGATAGATTTTTTTTTGTAAATGAGTCTTTTAGTTTTTTTCATTCATTAACTGTACAATCTTATAAAATGCATAACAATATTGATAGGTTTACATATAATGTTTCATAGCATTGTGATATACTGGGAGACAAAACAGAGAAGAGATCTCATTAAGAAAAAAGTAACACCTGCCTTTATCCTCCTGTCTAAAAGTAAAATGTCTGCCATCTCTTCTCCTAGATTTCATATTTTTCATTTTAATAATTCAATCAAGGAACTTCATGCACTTTTTAAACTGGGCTCAGATTGCTGAAATAATTGAAAGATATTCTTGAGTTTTGTTTTGTTTGCTGTTCAAACAGCAGGTGAGGAACAGAGAAGCATCTTTTGTTGTGACAGCACGAGGCGGCTTTGGGATCTGTGGAGGAGCCCTACTTTCTGCACTCGTGATTTAGACCGTGCTCGGTGATATCTGTCTTTGCCTTGCTTTATGACAAGCTAAAAGTTCATTACTCATGCGGTGTCGCTTTGGCATGAGTTGTCCTGAGTTAATTTGATTAGCAGTCAACAAAATAGATGAGGCTGCTTGGCTGCAGGGTGACGTGATTAGATGTGAAGCGGCAATTTGTTATCCTGAAATTACACAAGGACAGACTTTGGCTAATCTGAGATGAGTGTTCATCAAATCCCTGCAACTAGAAAAAAAAATACTGTTTTCAATCAGTTTTCTTTTTTTAACCTGAAACCTGTGCCTCCCTTTTTCCCACTTTATCAGCGTTTAAGTTTTATCAACAAACTGGAATGGTGGCAGCTCCAGATGCTGGACTCACAGATGTAGTAATACTCCTGGCCGACGTGGAACTCGTAGCCCAGCGAGAAGGCGCTGTATCGCTGGAACTTCTCGGAGAACTTGATGGGCGCGTGCGGGGCGTGGGGCCGGTTGCACTCCCACCTCTTGAAGCCCAGCTGCGGGTCGCAATTCCTGTAGCCACGGTAACTGACCATGTAGAGGACGTACTGCTCTCCGGTGCCCACCATGCGCTGGCTGTCGTTGTAGTGGGGGCAGTAGATATCCAGGTAGTCGTTGACGTTCACCTGCATTGTGTAGCCCTCCCTACGCAGACTGGACAGAAGGAAACACAAGAAAAATCATTTTTTTAAAATTGAATTTAAACATATTTGTCTCAACAGATATTCTATATCATTGCATTTCCTGCTGTATTTTCCAGATAATATGAAATGAATACATCTTAGTGTATTCCCTTCTCACAAAGAAACACAACAAAACATTGGCAGCAGAATCTGGCACGTATTATATTTCAATTATTGCATAGAATGTACATTAATGCTGCTAAATACACGCCAACAAACAATTAGACAGTACAAGGAAAGACAGAAGTACACAAATGTGTGATGATATGTTCTACGTGGTCAAAAAGACTTCAGTATTTTCATCTTAAAACACTGAATAAGGGTGTTAGCCATAGACAAGTGGTCTAAATGTGCACAATTTGATATTTTTGAACAAAAAACGTTCACACTTCACACTTCGATCTCTGATGTTGGTCAGCTTTAACTCCTGAGTGTTTTTGCACACACGCTCACACACACACGCTCACACACACAAAGGCCGTTCGCGCAGCGGCCGCTGTCGTCACAACAACAACCTGCACTTTCTTCTGGAATGTTCACCTCGTGTCAAACTAATTTGGAGAGTTATCGAGTTATTAATAACTCAAAGCAGGTGTGCTGGTGTGTATTTGTGGATTCAGGGCTGCCGCGCGCAAAGAATGTGGAGCTGGCTCTTCAGTTCGGAGTCAAGGCCCCAGGGCCACGAGCTCCTTCTTTTGGTGTCAGCACAGTGTTGTCCCCTAACCCCCGCGCTCATACATCAACCTGAGAGCAACGCTGCGCTCACGTCAGCCGTCAACGTCCTCGCAACACCCCCACCCCCCCCCACCCCCCCCCCCCCCCCCCCCCCACCCCCCTTCCAAAGCTCATATATCAGCGTCAGCCCCAAAAAAGACTCGACTTGACAGGAAGATAAGGTCTGATTCTGTGACTGGAAGTGAATGTGCGTTGGTGTGTGTGTGTGTGTGTGTGTGTGTGTATGTCTGATGTGGGACAAAGTGAAATAGATTCTTTCCTGACATCCAAAAGCCCTTTTTTTCCCTCCCCATCACAGACACAAGCCCATATCTGTGTGACACAGACAGGTTGTAGTTGTAAATCATACACACGCCAATGAGCACGTGAACACACAGCAGACGCGCACACACTGTCTCTCTCTCAGAGGATATAGTGGCGACAGCTTATCATCACAAGGGGGCAGCAGAGGGTCGTGCTCTGCCCTGCGCTGCTTCTCTCCACTTCTACAGTTCTAGGTCATGTCTCCAGGGAGATTATTATTCAATTATTAAATGAAAATCGAAACTCTGTTCCCAAAGTCTGCCTCTTCTCAATTACCTCTTACCACTCCCCTAAAATCCTTCCTGAGTTTGTCTTTGTCAAATTGCTCCATTTTATTCTAACCCGTTTCTCAGAGAGTGACCAGAATGGTTGAAAGATGAAATATCTGACATCCATTCCCTGCGTTCCAAGCCCTCCCCTTTCTTCTCACCTTCTCTCATTACATCATATAGTAGCCTGAAGAGGGGATTTGCTTCTGGTTGTATTAGTGGAAGAAGACAAAAAACAAGCGTGAGCGTGGTTTTTTTTCATAGTCTCGGGGAATGCAAATGAATAAAAACACAACAAAGAACATGAGTGGGGAATGAGTTAGGAGTCTTCACCAGGAGTCTTGATTGAAAATGGACTAAAATAGCAACAAGAGGCATAATGTACCACACAAAAATAAAGAAATAGAGTTTTATGCACCCGTTTCTGAGATGAATGGATAATGGGGAAATAAAGTGAGAAAAATGAGGGGGAGGGCAGCTCAGGGCATCTCTAATCAGAATGATTTCCATCAGCTGAAAGCTGGATTCAAGATTCCCACTCTGTGCTCGAGTCGGTTATTTCTGTACGGTGCCCAAATGTACTACGCTCTTCCAACACATTATTTCATTGTCACCTTTCTATACCTACAGAATAAAAAAGGAGATAAAGTGTCATTTGCCTTGAGTTTTATAGCAAAAATTAAAGAAATCTGAATCTGGCATAATAATGCATAATGTGTTTTAGATTCATATTATGGATAATCAAAAAATTAGGCACAGGAAATTTAAGAGTGACATTAGATAGTACTGTGGTGTGTGTGGAGGGGTAGTGCAGGTAACGTGTCCTAATTTACTATTCAAACGTGACATTAACTGAGCTGCCCTCGAATAAGCACAAGAGCTACAGTTGTCTCCAAAACGCTTCTTATGTGTCAATAGAGAAGACAGAATAACCCATTTTGATTTGTTTTTAAATTTTCAGATCTAAAAGGATTTGTGGCAGGGAAAAGGCAATGGTTCCCTGGACCCTGCACAACGACCCTGCCAACACGTTGTCTGAGGATGGTGACGGTGAAACGTAGCCACTGGTGTTGGGGTCGCTGCCAGCCGGTTGTGAATGCTTAGAGCTAAACACATGTCGTTTGTAACTTTAATAACAGAAATTTTCACAGCATTGGAATGTATTCTTTAATATCATTATTCGTGTAACTGAGGTTAAGCCTTCACATTTGAGAAACCTCCATCAGTTTGTCAACGTGACAAAAAGGAACAGATTTTAAAGGTAAAAACATTAAGTATAAAATCTAATTGGTACTTTATTTGATCCAGTCAGAATGTGTTTGCTCTGCTTTATTGTTTTACACAAAATGTAAAATTATAACTGCTGTAAATGTCCTGAAATATGAGAAAAACACTTTGGTTTGCACAACACGGTTATCGGGAACAATGTGTGAGTCATCGTAAAAAAAATTTGAGGGTCGAAAATAGCAAGGTTATTCATTTCATGTGATGTTAGAGTTAATCTCAAATCAGTTCATATTATAGCTTTACCAGCTTTGCACGTTCTTAACCAAAATGATTAAATATTCCTAATTTGTCTCATCATAACAGACGTTAACCAGCCAGTTGTGACTATCTTTTTTTAACTTTACATCTGTGACACAGATCTTCAAGAACCTTTTTTGTGAATTTGTATGAGAGGTTAAAACTTCATCAGACAAAACTGATGGAATAATGACAGGCATTAGATTTTTTGCTCACAAAAAATCTAAATAAAACACGAAATACAAACAAACTGTTCTTATCAGTTTAAGTTGTCATTGGATCTGAAATGATGGAAATACTCTGCTTTACTAAAGCAGAGTAGCTGTGGCAGTGTCACCCCAGTGACATTTTAACTATCTAAAGAAAAAAAAAGAAGAATGTACAGCAATCAAAGTCAATCTGACTGACCAATTCATCCAAACATCCTTTTGCTGTTTTCGTCTCTGTTGAAAACTAATGGTGAGACAATGGTTATGAAAAGTCCAGATGTGTCAAGGTGTGTTGCTCACTTTTCTGTCTCACAAGCAATACCTGGTGAGCTGAGGCTGATAAAAGCAAGTTGAGAAATGGGGTGAGGCATCTCTCTCGCAACACAAGTCAGAGGAGCCGAGCTAATGAACACTTATATATACAGATCCACCAGCAAGATAGAAAGATGGAGGGTTAGAGGGAAAGAGGGGAGGATTTATAGGATGAGATGAGGGGTAGTTGGGGTTAAAAGCAGCAGAGTGTAGCCACCAGGGAGCAGGGAGAGATAGCAAGAAGGAGCAACAGCTAAGAGCAAGATCAAAGTGGGCCTGGATCAATGTCACTACTGTAAAATCACATCAGAGAATGTGAGAGAGACATAGAGAGAGTGTGTTGCCTATATAAATCAGTCGTAGGCAACATAATGCCACAGAGTTACCCCCTGCTTGCTTATTATCTGCCTGGCCTGTTTGAGCACCGTACATCAATAAAACACTTTGACAGAGAGAGCGATCATTCCGTTTTGTAACAGGAGATGGAAAACCGGCTTACTTCTGCTCCTTTCTGTTGGGTTATATGGGAGACTTTGTGGTGAGATGAGGGCACTTAGGAGGACTACAAGCTCAAATATCCGAGCGAGTGAGTGTGGTTTCCTTTTTTTCTGTCACAGACAAAGTTGTTCGGTAGTTTCCACACCCATGATGTGTCAGTCCACGCCGCTAAACCGTACTGAAGCTACATAATGCGTCCTGAAAATATTTTTCACAGCTTTGTAGATTAAAACTTCGCTGCCCCACCAGTTTGTGATTTAAGGCTGGAAAACATTCCCGGTTGTAATGACTGTTCCAAAGCAGGACTTTTCAAACAAAGCAGGATGTGAAAGCTCAAATTTGCCTCAGTGAGGTTTCTCATTAAGGCACATTTTTTACATGGCTTATTAAACCCATGACAGGTCAGCAAATGAAGGATAAAGGCACTCCGAAGCATTTTTTAAATAACCTCAGCAGCTTTGAACATTTTTCATAGAAACCAGAAGGAAAGACATATGGAAGCACGATGCAATAGCCGTCCAATGGGAGACCTTGCTCTTATTAAGGTTTGGTAACAAGCTGCTGTGTAGACATATTATTTGGTCTGATGTTGTGCCTGAGAATTGAGACCAGTGTTAGGTCTCAGGTCTTAGCCACAGTCATTTTTTTTCTCTGTAATGACTTGTTAAACTATAAGCACTGAAAGCTTATTCATTTAGCAATAGTAGCAAAGGCAAGAGCCACAGTCACATCATCGCTCATACTTCATTATTTAGTGATTTTACTATCTATTTCCAGGAAAACTCAGTTGAATAGTAAATAGATTTAGATAATACTATGTTACGATTACACAGCCAAATGACAATGTTTAATTGCTCTCCCAGAGGAGAGGCCATCCCTGCTCTCAATCCCTCACTCTCTCATCCTTCCTCTCATCTAAAAAGATACACGACAAAAATTTAAGCAACAAGAAGGCATGTTTTCCAACATTTGCACTGGGTAACCCTGAATTTGAAACACTACTGGGGGTTGCGTTCCCAATAAGGTGAAAAATGGCTGACATTAATAGCTTTTGCCCCGCTGACCCTTTAGAAAATGGAGTGAAGGACAATGTTTCTCTTTGTTTTGTTTGTTTTTTTAGCCATAAAGACAATCTGTGTTT